GAAGATTTGTTATAAATTAATTGTAATTCTTATTTTTAACTTAAGATAAATAATTATTTTTTCTACGCAAAACTTATTATTGTTCTTTAATTTTAATTCTACGGGAAGTCTAGCCTATCACCAAAATCTTCTTTAAATTTTTAATTTTTTTAAGAGTAATATAAACAAAATATAAACTGTCTACCTATTGCTAAATCTTTTTGTAAAAAAGATTGTAGACGTGTAGAAAAGGCAGTATGAGTGTCCGAGCAAAACTCTCTCTGTTCGAAAATTTCCCCTCCGTTCAAGAAACCGACCTTCTTGACCGGAGCATCAAGAAGATCAAAGACCCTAAAACAAATGTCTTTATAGAGAGCTCTCGAAGGGGAGATAACCCTCTTCATGGTGAATCATCGAACCTGTCCACTAAAGACGTGCTGATGACTAACCAGATTGCCGACGAGGAACACCTAGACACCCCAATGTCAGAATCACAAAATACAGCCACAGCTTTAGCCAACCAATCACAAAACTCTTTATCTTATAGGGATAAACTCATGGGGAAAGAGAACCCAGTCATTCTCTCCTTCAATACCATACCCAGTTACATGGAGGAAGAATCAGACATTGACGATGATCCAGAGGACGATGCTCCTATCGTTTTGTTATCAAGAGCAGAAAAACGGAGAATCCGGGAGCCATGGATGAATGCCATCATTATCAAAGCCTTCCATCCTAAACCTTTGGGTTATAACTATGTTTTTCCTAGAGTCCAAGCTCAATGGAAACTGAATGGTAAGTGGGATTTCATTGATCTTGGATTTGATTTTTTCCTTGTTCGATTTCAGGACAACGAGGATCTAAGTAAAGTCATCATGGGGGGTCCTTGGTTCATTGGCCCCTACTATCTCACCATGAGAAGGTGGGAACCCAACTTTGACCCGGAAGAGGCCATTCGCACTACTACCACCACGGCTGTTTGGGCTAGACTCCCTAATCTCTCAGCTGATTATTATGACCCTATTACTCTCCAGAAGATTGGGAATAAGATAGGCTTGCTACTCAGGGTCGATGCTCATACTGCTCATCACACCAGGGGCCAGTATGCAAGGGTGTGTGTCCAAATTGATATTGCACAACCTGTTGCTAAGTATATCAGAATTGGAAAGAAAAAACAGAGGGTCATTTATGAAGGGGTCAGTGCTTTGTGCTTTCATTGTGGACGCATAGGCCACAGAAATAATCAATGCCCACAGCTCAATATTACCTCCGAGATCATTAATGAAGCTGCCAACACTGCTACTTTGCCAACCCATGCTTCAGACTCTACATTCCCCAACGTTAAGGCCGTGACCTCCCCCACTATCCTGAGCCCTGCTTCGCAGACATCTGATATCGACAAATCCTTTGATAAGGATTATGGTCCCTGGTTACTAGTGGAGCGACGCAGAGCCAAAAGGAAACCCCCTTCAAACCCGTCAGCACCGGAGAAGACACCGGCAAACCCCAAAGCAAGGGACGTGCGTGACTCAGGCGGTTCAACGCGTAACACTAGTCCCAAAACTCAGCGAGTCACGAACAACTCTCTATCAAATCAACAGAACGGTAATGTTCTCAGTGCAATAAATGTTGATCAATCTTCAAAGCAAGGTCCAACGGTTCACAAAGCCAAAGCCCCTTTAGTGGATTATTCCAAACCGGAACCCAAAACCCAACAATGGGTCAGCAAAACTTCCACTAAGGTTCAAGGCCCACCCATGAGCACCACCATACATGAGCCCAAATATAAACCCAAGACCTCTCATACCCAAGGCCAACCTTCACACCAGGCTAATATCTCCGAACCTAATTCTAGATCTGATATCCATAGGCTTTCTGTGCCCCAACAAGACCTTTCTTCTTGCTCTCCTAATTCGGTTCAGCCTACCCACTCCACTCCCGATCACTTCACCTCCACTAGCACTTCTGGAACCCACCCCCAATCCCAATCTCCTCATATCTCTACTTCCCCCCTACCTAACCATGGATCCACTCCAGTTTCTGAATCTTGCTCCAAAAACACAGATGTTTCTTGTAGAGAACCAGCTGTCCGTCCGGATGGAGACAGCTTTGGAGTGGATGCTAGATTGCACATCCCCCAGGGGATCCAAATGGTCGTTGAATCAATTGTTCACGGCGTGGAGAGCTCCCATTCTCACGGACATGGAGGTGAACCTCCCAGAGATAGCCCACTTGATCCCCCCAGCCGAGGAAAATCCAGATCTAAAAGAGTCATGTCGGATCGGGAATCTCGAATTGACAGAAGGCGCCAAAGTACTCGACGAGGAGTTGAGCCTTATCAAGCCACTTCTATTGACAAGCTATGCTTACCAAAGCCACCTGAAGATCGTCCAGCTAGAGGGGAAAATGGAACACATTCTCCTGGTACTGAAAACCCTGTGGTCACTAGAGACCCACACCGAGAGGGACTTCCAAATCCTTTTCCTACCATATCATTTTCCCCTAGCCAGGTTCCTCTCATGGACATTCCAATCCCTACTGCCGGTGTTCAACCCGTTGAGAGCCCAAATAGCATTGGGGCTATCAACCACTCTTGATTGGTCTATGAAGATTATCTCATGGAATTGCCGTGGAGCACTTAAAGCAGGATTCCGAAAAAGTGTCACGGATCTTATAAGGATTCACAACCCAGCTATGCTCCTTATCCTTGAAACAAAAATTTCCTGTCCTGATGCTCAAGAGGTAGCTAATTCTCTCGGCTTCCCCAAATCTTGTATCGTCAACTCTGATGGTCTAGCTGGAGGCTTATGGCTGCTGTGGGACGACTCTAGACGCTCGGTGGATATTCTCTCAACCAACAACCAAGCAATTCATGCAGTTATCCAGGTTAGTAATAATCCCTTATGTCCATTTAATTGGTATTTTTCTGGCATTTATGGCAGGCCTCAGTTTGAAATCAGAAACATGTTATGGCAAGAACTTTCTGCCATGGCTAATATCATCCAGGGTCCGTGGATGATTATCGGGGATTTTAATGATGTAGTGGATCAGAGTGAAAAATTTGGAGGGAATGAAATTTCTCAAACTCGTGCCCGGGCCTACCTTGATTGCATGAACTATTGCAATATGGTTGACCTCGGCTTTATTGGAAACCGCTTTACTTGGGTCAACATGCGGTTCTCTAACCAGCTGATCAGAGAAAGGCTTGATAGGGCTTGGGCCAACCCTGATTGGAAACTTAGCTTTCCTGAAGCCTCCCTCTTTCACCTACCTCGTACTCACTCTGATCATTGCCCAATTTTACTTGATCTTAACCCCTCATGCCCTCGATTTGGTTCTCGCCTCTTCCGGCTTGAAAAATTTTGGATTGAGCACCCTGATTTCCAAAGCATCACTCATCAAGTTTGGGTTGACACCAATACTAATACTGCTAAAAGTGTTGAGCTTACTATGAACCGTGCTAAAGCATGGAGTCTAGTTACCTTCGGTAATATCTTCAAAAGGAAGAAAAAACTCCTTGCTCGCATTGAGGGCATCCAAAAGTCTCATGCTTATAACTTTTCTTCCTTCCTTTGGAACTTAGAAAGGGATCTCCTCCAACAATATAATGATATTCTTAATTGGGAGGCGGATCTTTGGTTCATGAAGTCTCGCGCCGATTGGATCGTTGATGGTGACAGAAACACTAGGTTCTTCCATGTCACTACTCTAAAGCATCGATCTCGAAACAGGATTTTTGGCTTGTTCAATAGCCAAGGAAATTGGATCTCTGATGGCAGTGGACTTGCATCCATTGCTATTGATTTCTTCTCGGAATTATTCAACACTTCTCATACCCACTCATTCTCTAACTCATATGAATCACTTCAAAGCCATTTTCAGCCTTCTTATTGTCTTGATTCCATCAGGGGATGCCCCAGCAATAAAGAGATTTGGGATGCTGTTAACTCTTTGAAATCCTTTAAGGCTCCGGGTCCTGATGGAACTCACCCCTTCTTCTATAAACGTATGTGGCCTCTTATTGGGGAGAAGATTAGCTGTGAAGTTAAGAATATCTTTCTTACTGGGTGCATTCCCCCTAAATGGAACGAGTGCTTACTTGTCCTCATTCCTAAACTGCAATCTCCTGGGCATATTCATCAATTCAGGCCTATAAGCCTTTGCAATACTATTTACAAAATCATATCTAAGATTCTTGTTCATAGGATCAAGCCCTGGATGGACAAGATTATTTCTCCATGCCAATCCAGCTTTATCCCTGGCAAGCAAGGCACTGATAATATCCTGATCCTTCAAGAACTTGTCCACTCCTTCTCAAAAAAAACCGGACAAACAGGAGATATGATTTGTAAACTTGATCTTGAGAAGGCCTTTGATAGGCTGGAATGGAGTTTCATTTATGAAACTCTCCTTTACTTTCAGTTTCCCCTTGATATTGTTAACCTTATTATGTCTGCCATCAGCTCTACATCAATCTCCATTCTCATCAAGGGAGAAAAAACTGAAGAGTTTTACCCTTCTCGAGGAATTCGCCAAGGAGATCCACTCTCACCTTACATCTTTATCCTTTGTATGGAGTACCTTTCCATAAGAATCTCTGTTGACATGGAGACTGGACTATGGAAAGGCACTAAATGTGGGAGAAGGGGTCCCTCTCTTTCTCATATTTTCTTTGCTGATGACATCATCTTCATTGGCAAAGCTACAGCTGCCAATTGCCTTCATCTTAAAGATGTCCTTCAATCCTTTTGCGAGAGATCTGGCCAAAAGATTAACAACCTCAAATCCAAGATGTTTTTCTCCAAAAATGTTGGTCAAGCTGTCCGGGATAATCTCTGCTCCATTCTTGGTTTTTCCCAAACTGATGACCTGGGAAAATACCTTGGTGTCCCTATCTCAGCTAAGAAACTTACCCGAAGCAAATGGCAATTCGTTGTTGACAAAGTTCGTGCTAAACTCTCTGGCTGGAAGTCTAAATTCCTTTCCTTTGCAGGACGGACTACCCTTGCTAAGTCAGTCTTGGCTGCTGTTCCAAATTACTATATGCAATCATCCCTGCTTCCAGCCTCTATCCAAAAGGAACTCGATCAGATCTCTCGTAACTTTATTTGGGGATCAGAGGTGGAGCAAAGGAAGATTCACCTTGTCAATTGGAACATTGTTTCTAGCCCAAAGCATTTGGGGGGTCTTGGATTAAAAAGTGCGAGAGAGGCTAACCTTGTTGCTATGTGTAAACTTAATTGGAGACTTCATCAGGAGAAGGATAAAGTCTGGAGTACCATATTTAGAAATAAATATAACATTCAGGAGTGTCACAACAGACCAGCTGCCACTGGATCTCCTGCATGGAAAGCCATAACTAAGGGCTTTGATCTCTTCAGCTCAGGTCTGAAATGGGTGCCTCATACAGGCGCCAACATTTCTTTTTGGACAGATTGCTGGGCTACAGAGATACCTCTCGCTTCTATGGTATATGGCCCCCACCCATTGGACTTCAAAACTATCACTGTCTCTGACTTTTTCACTGCAGGTGGACAGGCCCCAGACCTTATCTCCTACTCTTTCCCTGGTGAGATCTTCAATAAGCTCAAAGCTATTCCTCGCTCTATTGTCAGTGAAAGAGAAGACTCCCTTGCTTGGAAGGGAACTCCCAGAGGTGAATTCACTGCTGCTTCTGCTTATAACCTTCTTAAAAATCATTCTGTTTGCGTTAGCAAAGATTGGGATTGGATATGGAAGCTTCCAACCACCCCAAAAATCCAACATTTCTTTTGGCTGTTGGCTCACCAAAGACTCAAATGCTTTGGCTTCTTGCATCATCTAAGCATTTCTGCAACTGCTACTTGTCCCCTCTGTCGCAATGAGGAGGAAACGGTGGAGCACCTTATCCGGTTTTGTCCTTCCTCAACTGCTATTCTCCATGACCTTTTCCCTGATTCCTCATCGCAGCAGCAGCAACAGCAGGACATGGACTTCATTTCTTGGCTTAAGTTTAATTCTCATTGTACGCTCAAGACTGAAGTGATGAACATCCCTTGGAACATTCTGTTTTGCTTTACTATTTGGGGAATTTGGCTACATCGTAACCAAACTGTTCATTCCCCCCACCCATACCAGCTCAATATTCTGCGTAGCACTATTACTGAAAGAGCTGCTGAATTTTGGGCATCTATTATCCCAAAAGCTTCCCGTACCTATCATGAGGAGAACTTTAAATGGGCTAAACCTCCCCCAAATGTCATCAAACTGAACACGGATGGGTCGGCTAAAGGAAATCCAGGCATCTCAGCTGCTGGGGGTATATTTCGTGACCATCATGGCAACTGGAAGCTGGGTTATGCAAGGAAAATTGGCTGGTCTAACAGCCTTGCAGCGGAACTCTGGGCCATTAGGGACGGATTGCAACTGGCTGTTACGCATAACTTTTCTCATATTATTGTGGAATCTGACTCTCTTGTTGCTATCCACCTCCTTCATGAGCCCCTGCCTCCCTCTCATAATCTCAGCCCTTTAATTTTTGATTGCAGGGAGTTGTTCCAGCTAATCCATCATGCTGAGCTCAAACACGTTGTCCGCGAGTCTAATATGGCTGCTGATCAGATGGCAAAGCTTGGACATGGCATTGATCAGGATTTTGTCACTTTTGAAAGCATTCCTTTCTCTGTAAAACAGTTCTGTATTGCCGATATGATGGGAATTGAGTTTCCCCGTATGTGTTGAACCATTTCTAATTAATATATCTTCTCTTTACCAAAAAAAAAAAAAAAAAAAAATCAAAGAGTTTGTACTCTTTTTTTTTAATAATAGAAATTATATGATTAAGTTAGCATCTGTTCTATACTGGGAGGATTCGACCTCAAGACCAAAAGGTGCATTCTACTTTACTACCGAGCAGTGTGGCCACGCGAGCCACGTAGAGAAATGCAAGAGTTTGTACTTTATAAAGGTCAAAAATCATTTTTTTCACTTATGAAATAAAGTTTTAGCGACCAAAATTTTGAATTATATAAATCTTTAGAATTATTTACAATTTTTTTTAATTTTACAGTTCTGCAATTTTTAATAGAAATGAATGCCTTAACATATTCATCAAAGAGTTTGTACTTTATAAAGGTCAAAAAT